CCCACTACCTTCTCCCCTTCCTTCTCCTCCCCTCCCCCCATCACCAACTCTTGTCTCCCTCCCACCCCACCCCACCACCTTCTCCCCTCCCCTCCCCTCACCCCATCACCAACTCCTGTCTCTCTCCCACCCCTTTACCCCTCCACCTTCTCCCCCCCCCCCTCACCACCCCCTTCTATTTCCCTACCTCTGCCACCCACCACCTCACCCCCCTTTCTCCTCCCTTCTCCCTCTCCTCTCCCCTCTCTTCTCTTTTAATCTCCGTTTCTTTCACCCCCCTTCCTCCCCTCTCCCTCTCCTTCTCCCCTCTTCTTCCTCTTTTAATCTCCGTTTCTTTCACTGGAATAAAAACACGGAAAAAAACACAGAAAAAACGTAGAATTTCGATTTGTTTATAACCGTAATCATAAGAAATACTTTTCTAAAAATTATATTTGCATTTTTTTTTTTTTTTTTTTTTTTTTTTTTTTACAAATTTGGTGCAACTTCGTGAACTAAACCGTTTTCGAAATTCAAAAATGTTTACCAGAAGTTCAAGTTTTGCGAATGAAAAGGAAAATAATAACAAAATCATGATAATAATGACAATAATTAAATGAAGGAATTAAATGGGGAATAGATGAATAATATGAGAAATAGAAAAATAATATCCGATTAATTATTAAGCTAACTAGTTGAATTAATAAACCGAACCCAAAAAAGAACCTCGAAACTATTTTTTTTAACTGTAATTAAATCGGTTAAATGTTTATATGATTAAATTCTAACAGACAGATATTTGTATTTATAAACTGAAAATTGATTCGTTGCCTAATAAATTATTCATTTTTTCTTCTTTGAATTGATACGTATCTATTAGTCGTATCTTATATAATACCTTATAATACCTATATATATATATATATATCATTTACGATACGTATTTTCTACATTGCTTGTTTTCTTCTTTTTTCTCTTGTTTTCATTTCCAATTTCACAATTTTCTTATTCGCATCACCAAAATTATTAATCAGATATTAGTATCCAAAATTTATGGATAAAACAACAATTATTAAAAAAACTACTTTCCTTACCTACTTACCTATTTTAAGGCAAACATACACCTGTTATGGACAAAAATAGATTTTGATACTCTATGTTACTGATAGATATCTAATGAACAAATCCCAGTAGTGATGATTGAGAGAAAGTAGACACTAATAGATAGACACTGTCTACTAATTTTTGTTCAGGTTATTTATATACTAGGTTCAGTATATACTATTGCTGTGAGGGAATAAAAAATAAATTGTTTAGCAAATGATGACAATGATGGGTATTCCGTATGCTTTATATATATATATATATTATATATATATATATATATATATATATATATATATATATATATATATATATATATATGTATGTGTGTGTGTGTTTGTGTGTGTGTGTGTGTGTGTGTGTGTATGTGTGTGTGTGTGTGTGTGTGTGTGTGTGTGTGTGTGTATGTGTGTGTGGTGTGTGTGTGTGTTGTGTGTGTGTGTGGTGTGTGTGTGTGTAGCGATATGATTTATCTTCAAACTTCTAACTTCTAAGATGAATGGAACACAGATAAAAAAAAAATAAAGATAAAAAAGTAAAAAAAAAAATACAGATATATGATATGAAGAAACGTGTTTACATTATATACTTCGAAGTACATACAGTAAAATTACTTTTTCGTGTACTAAAGTGTGTTGCGTGTCACAAAAACGCACGAATTGATACCATAAACTATTAATTCCAGTAAAAGAATATCAACGATAGTGTTAAATACACAAATGAAAACGATATCAATAACAATAAATAACAATCATAACACCATCAATAATATTGATATGATAATGATAATCAAAATAGCAGTTATCATGATTGTAAAATTAATGACAATACTAATATCAAGCGAATAAGAGAACAACAATCATAATGATGATAATTAATAACATCAATATGTTATCCTCTTTTGAATAAATAAATTAAAAAACTCGTATTGATAATCATCGCTCGTTCTTCAAAAAAATATCACAGTACGAGGTGACACGTAAAGAATAAACATGACAGAGATAAACCTTCCTTTTTTTGACATGACAGAAACACAGTTCGGAAACAACAGTGTCAGTGACAATTCTGGCCGGAGGCGATGGTGTCATACCCATGCAGGACACAAGGATGAACCGATGCCAACTGAAATCCATGCTTAAGGTAACACCGAAGAAGATGGATGGATAGATAGATGGATAGATAGATAGATGGAGATAGATAGATAGATGATAGATAGATAGATAGATGGATAGATAGATAGATGGATAGATAGATAGATGGATAGATAGATAGATGGATAGATAGATAGATATAGATAGATAATAGATAGATAGATAGATAGATAGATATAGATAGATAGATAGATGATAGATGGATAGATGATATCAGATAGATACGGGCCGGCTAATTCATAACGCGAAAATATTCTCAAAGAAAAATATCATCAAGAGAGTGCTATACAAACGCGTGAGTGTTCTAGACATGAATGGACGACGGTCTGCAAGGTTTGGCAACGGAAGCTGACATGCTATATGACATACCCCTTTGGTCAACAGAGAGAGGAGGCTGAGAGAGAGAAAATATTTTAAGTCGGGGATGGCAGTGGAAGACAAGTGCACACTCACGGGCTATGGTGGTCACTGTCCGAGCCGCGAAAGTGCCACCGATACTGATTGACCCTCCCGGCCTCACTGAGCCCCCCCACCCCTCCTCTCCTCCTCCTCCTCCTCCTCCTCCTCTTCCTCTCTTCCTCTCCTCTCCTCCTCCTCCTCCTTCCTCCTCCTCCTCCTCCTCCTCCTCCTCCTCCTCCTCCTCCTCCTCCCTCCTCCTCCTCCTCTCCTCCTCCCTCCTCCTCCTCCTCCTCCTCCTCCTCTCCTCCTCTCCTCCTCTCCTCCTCCTCCTTTCTCCTCTCCTCCTCCTCCTCTCCTCCTCCTCCTCCTTCCTATAGACTCCCACACCTTCCCCACCCGTCTTATACCCACCTCCCCCCCCCCCCCCCTCCTCCATCTATTTCATGCCACCCCTATACCCACTCCGTCTCCCAACCCCTCAGCCCACCCCCCCCCCTCCCCACTCCATGCCCCCACCCCCGTGCCACATCCATGCCCCATGCCCACACCCGTGCCCACCCACTCCATGCCCCACCCCCTGTGCCCACCCCCACCCACCTCTTCCACCCCTCCGTGCCCCA